CCCCCCCCCCCCGCAAGATACGCTGGTATTTTTTCGAATTTTTAGTTAGTCTTTGACGGGTTCCAATGATCATATATTCTGTTTTTTCAATGTTTAAAGTAGCTTGTTTCAAAGAAGCCACTGGTGAATATTTTTCATTTCAGAAATTAGTGCTTCCTCCAAATTATTAATGCTATGTGAATATACTGTAAGATTTGTATCATCTGCATACATTGCCGGACAGGATTTATCTAAGCAATTTGGCAGGTCATTGACGTATAATAAGAACAAAAGGGGCCAAGGTTCGATCCCTGGGGAACCCCACAACGTATTTTCCTTGTGGATGATGTTGCACTGTTCACGCTGCAGTATTGCGTTCTGTTATGCAAATAAGACTTAAACCAATCTAAGGCCTTATTTTGGATTCCATATATAGATAATTTACTAAAGAGAATTCCGTGATCGATCGTATCAAATGCTTTACACAAGTCCAGAAAACGTACTCCATTTATTATCCCAGCATCCATGTTAAGTAACCATGAATCCGTATTTGCTAAAAGTGCTGATGCGGTGGAATAATGTTTACGGAAACCAGACTGACACGAGCTCAGAATATTATTTTCAGTTAAAAAGGAATTGAGCTGTGCACAGACAAGTTTCTCAAATAATTTAGCAATAATCGAAAGAATGGAAATCGGTCTATAATTGCCTCGAATTTTTTTGTCGCCAGCTGATTTATGAATTGGAGAAATTCTTGCAGTCTTAAGATCATCATGGAAAATTCCATGTTTGAGTGAAGTATTAAAAATAAATACTAAAAAAAGCTCCTCGGCATCACTCCCATCTTTCAAAGTTTGGCTGGGATATTATCATGTCCAGTTGACTTAGACGTCTTTAATTTCTCAAGTGCATTTAACATTTCATTACAAACTCATCAGACCATATTCTTTTGTATTTCGTCGGTTTTTAACTCCCCCGTAATAACCTTCAGTCTAAAAGCGGGCGGTGGTACTTGATTTCTCCGGGGGAAATACGGGGTTGAAGGTTATTACGGAAAAATAATAACCGGGTAGCAGGTTATTACGGAAAAATAATAACCGGGTAGCAGGTTATTACGGAAAAATAATAACCTGGTAGCTGGTATTAGGTTATTATTAACCTGCTAGTCTGCTACCAGGTTATTATTTTTCCGTAATAACCTGCTACCAGGTTATTATTTTTCCGTAATAACCTGCTACCCGGTTATTACGAAAAAATAATAACCAGTTACCTGGTTTTACATTTTCAATTCAAGACCTGGCATGAGTCTTGAATTCGGGACTTGAATTTGCAGGAAAACTCAAGACCCACATCTCCTTTTCGACTAGAAAACGTTGCACGTCTCTAAGTCGAGAAAGAGACAACAACAGCCGTGTACCTCAGAGCCCGTCAAAACTCTACCATTAGGTAAGGGTATCTATCATTCGGCGCACGAGGACTAGCTGGTAAGCTGGATCAACCATCAAACATTCTTGTGCAGGGAATTTATACAGTAATATCTGCTCTTTTGCTTGTGGGACGTGAAATGATATACTGCGCATGCTTAACCACATTTTAAAGCGTGTTAATGCGCATGATACACCTAGTTATTTCGTCCCACAACTGCAGCGACCTCTCATTGAATTAATATAGCTTGAATTTTTAATGAAGAAAACCTCCAAAATTCAAAAGAATATGGTCTGATGAGTATATAAACAAGTTAAAAGCCGCGGGTATCGGTTTTTATTAAACTGTAAAGACCTCGGGCCTTCGGCCCTCGGTCTTCACAGTTTAATAAAAACCTCTCCCTTGGCTTTTAACCTATATTTGATATTAATGTTTTCGAAATTGACCTTATGTTCAGTTTTAAATTTCGTATAACGTTTAAAATCAGTATTAGTTTCCGTGATCTGGTTCGACAGATTTGGCCCTATATCAGTGCAATCAGTTTAGTGTGATTGCTTAAATTGTTAGATAAAAAATCACAATTTAAATCGCCAATGATCATTAGTTCTTTATGTTCGTTGTCAAGGTTTTGAAATAAGACTTCAATTTTATCAAGGAATTCAATTTGCGACTTCGGTGGCCTATATGCAGATGCATTTACGACAGGTTTAGATTTAAGCTTAATAATTTCGAGGCAAACAGCCTCGACGTCCTCTGGGACTAAATCATCTCTATCAATTACGTTCAAAATACTGCTATGGTAAATTGCAACACCGCCTCCTTGCCGATTACGATTTTTGGCAACCATGTCGTAACCGGGTATACTAACAGTATCTATACTAATTGTTTCATCCAATCGAGTTTCGTTAATGCTCAAAACATCGAGTGGTTCTTTTTTCAAGTATATTTTTAATTTATCAATATGCTTGACTAACGAAGCGATGTTTAAATGCCCAACTCTAAATCCTTTCAAAGATTGTAAAAATGTAATGCTATTTTCACACTTTGTTTGTGGAGTAATCTTCTCATTGGAGCAACTTGGCTCTTTTGGCTCGGGATCGGAAGTTTTGCTGTAAAGGGTTGGAACTTTATCTAGGCTAAACATTGTGTAAATAACTAATAATGTTTTTAGCTATAGTAGAAGATCATAACTTATTCAGATGCAATTTGGATCTGTTATGCGACTTACTGAGGATATTGCTGTTATGTATAATTAAATTTAAATTAGTCGCAGTACAGTAATCTGCTAACAAACGATTTACCTCCTGAACAGTTGTTTTGGCCTTTCCATTGTCCTCTCTTTTGATCAATTCAGACAATATTATTTCAACGTTGGGATTAATGGTAGTGTCCCTCCGGTGGTATTTCTGGTGGTATTTCTGTCTTCATAGCATGCAGCCATGCACTGAACCGAAGATATAAAATTTCTCGCCGTCATCCGCTAGCGGATGACGAGACTGGCTTGTGATGCAAAAGAGAAAATCACACTTGTGTTTGGCGAAACATGTGTGCGATTTTTCATCAATACTTCTTGAATTGCGTATTTTCCTATACTAAAGAACCGCAGTCAACCGTGATGTTTTTCGCGTTAAAATGTTTTGATTGTTTGCATTCCGCCATTTTATTAGCCACTTTAGTGACGAAGGATTGACATCCGAAGCATATCCTTATCAATCTGCATTACTCTTAGATGATGTCATATTTCTCATAGTAGCAATGTGTTAATAGATCATTGATTGAGATTTTGGCGTGTGTTTTTATCTCAACGAATGATTTTAGGACGTTTTCTCATTTTATAAGGTAGATGGCTAATCATGGCTTCTGTATTTCCTGTTCGTGGAAGACCAACAAGTGAGGGTATAAAAACAATATCGTTGACAAATTCAACGATACTAAAACAACCGTCCTTTGGACGGGAAGGAAATGAAGAGTGGGAATACAGAGGTTTTCGCATAGCGAGTACGCCGAAATCATAGAATAAGAAATTAATAGAAGGGTAACTCGAGTCGGAACCTTTGAAGTCGCGCATGTCGCCTCGCGCATACCGGAATTGCCCGCTCTAATTGCTCGCAGTCAGTAAAACCAGTCTATAATATTAGAGATTTGTATTGCAGAATGGCCATTTGGCTGAATAAATCGACTATTTTTCGCAAACGAACGATTCAAATTACAAACCACGGCTGCTGGTTGTAATTTGAAGGTTAGTGATACATTTCTGTTGGTTATGAGCTGTTAAAGAATTGCTAAATGCGAAATTTAAACGTATTAATACATGTTGTTTACTTACAAAGTATAAAGTACAATATATTAACATATGATAGCTTGGTTTATTTATTGGAAAAATTCGAAGTCTTCGAAGTAATATTGTAGTAATAGGAATAAATGTTAATTCATAATCATTATATTTTAATTACATGAATAAATAACATCATTTTCTGATATTGTTTGTATTTGTAGTTCAACATGTCAGACACAGACAGACAACTTCCCGCACGAAATAAATTTGATTAATTGCTCGTGACTTTGAAATTTATACTTTTTCAAAAAAAATTTGATGCAATCCAAAACCTGTACTGATAAGATTTGACATAAACCTCGAAAATCGAAATAAATAACACAGTACTGATACACGATCGACTGTCAGCATTTCATTCAGATTCGGACTGTAGCTCACACAACAATATCAAATTTCTCCCTAAATATTCGTTTCTTTCTATGCTAACAACAACAATAATTTAGGCTTACATTGCCTCTGCCGGCAGTTGTAGTAGTTTGATATTCCAATCCTTTGTTTCCGAAAAATAGTCGATTTTGTGATCAAAATGTACATTTCGTGATACAAATCCCTATTGCACTGGCTGGCTTTTACTGGCTGCGAGCTTGAGAATCCCGCGCGTGCGCACTGAAAATTGGTTACGCGTTGTACATGCGAGTTGCCCTTCTATTCATTTCTTATTCTATGTCGAAATCCTGATCCATCAACCGTGAGCGTATCAGGCGACAGCGCAGGAATCAGGATTTCATCAAAACATTCATGTTATGAATAGTGTGCTGCTTTCGGCAGCAACAAAAAAAGACTTTTAATTAATTCATTTACCCGTTGCATAGTATTGCGTTTACGTGTGCCCAGTCTCTTTGGCCGGGTTACGGTATAGCCGAACGACAACTCGATTTTGCATGTACGGACGGATGTACACACGGATGATCAGATTTATGACGTTTTTTGACGTCACAGCAATTTTAGAAAATAACATACTCCAGATCGCGATTTGACTTTCCGAATACCCTGGTTGGGACTCGCGAACACCACCATGGACTATTACAATTTGCAAATATTAAACACGTTGCCTCAATCCTCGTGCTTGTTGTGAATTTTGATTCCAGCTTTTATATCTGGCTGTTTATCGAAATATATTTTGTACGTCTGGCTTTATCGAAAATATTCTTCAAGGTAAGATGAAAGTTTGATCACAAATAACAAATTATGTGTTTTGGTCGAATTATTTTACCCATTGAAACGAATGAATCCACTATTGGAACATACAATTGCAAAGACTTGTACAAAGATAATCCTATAGCCACACAGTGTGGATTGTAGTCTGCACATATTTATGCTGTAACTAATTACCAGCAGTTACATGTGTAAATGTCAACCGACTTTTGTAAAAGGTATGAAGGTCTGTAAAAATATATCTCTTGAGATATGTCCTTTGTTTAAAACATAATATGAAATAATCCTGTCACTACAGTACTCAGGGTATACTATGTTTTTTGATAAAATTCTTGTATTATATAGTTTTGCAGTTCCGACTGAGTACAATCTCAATCATTACAAGTGAATGGTGTCATGACAAGCTGATATATGAAACAAAACCTGTCAACAAATAGATTTTGTCTCCCCATCAGGCATCAGCAGATTGTTCAGTTGTTTTGTAATAGGGGTGATAGCCTTGAAGGTTGGCTTATTGCATTAAAACGATAATTGGGAGAAAAACTAACTTAATATTTCTATATATGAAATTGTTCAGAGAAAAAAAATCGTTCAAGCAAACAGCGAAGTACAAATAGTCTTAAAAAAAAATTCGTGCAGAGGTTAAATGCAGTAAAAAAAAATCCTGCAGAGACACGAGACTGAAAAAAAAAATCGTTCCGCAAAAATTTTATACCCCCCCCCCTCCCGGGATTTCTAATGGTCCGCCCCTAATGCTATACAGTACGTAAGCAGTATTTTGCATAATTTAAAATTATTCAAAAAAATGTCAAGTCAAGATAGCGGACGCAGAGCAACTATGAATTATTATACATAACAATGTAATTTATGCAATGTTCGGCCCGGTCACAGGGGAAAATTTGAACCAATGATATTCCGCCTCACGTTGTGCGGGGGCAACTGTACGGCATTATGTTGATTGATCGCAGACTGTTTCTCTGCCGCTGCACGGGGGATCGGGTGAGATCAGTCTCCTATCGCAGACAATGATGGCTAGCCATAGCAATAGGTCATGCTATGCAAGTTTTTAATGATTTGCATTATTCAAATAGATGCAGGATTATTGGCGTGGCATGACCAGTTGCCATGGTAGTTAGCTTGCCACTGAATTCTTTACAAAATCATATAAAATATAAATGATAAAAATACTTGAATGAATCATTGGACATGTAAAATTTAATACGTAATCGCTGCACGAATTTTTTTCCAGGCATTTTCCTCTGCACGAATTTTTTTGGGGGAATTTTCACCCCCCCCTCCCGGGATTTCTAATGGTCCGCCCCTTAGTGTTGATTGATCGCAGATTGTTTCTCTGCCGCTCCAGTGGGGGTCGGCTTGAAGGTATCAAATAAAATCGACCATGCCAAGAAAGTCTATAGAATTAGAATATTTAGCTGACCTTTGACTTTGGGCAAGCTGTTTGACATTTGAATGGCACTTTTTCTACCTCTTGAACAGGCGTTTTAGGACTGTTTACATGATGGAGCTCATGGAATGTGGGATGATTTTTGATATATTTGAATAAGTCATTATGCTAATCAAAAGTTCAAATGCTTGTTTACAGAACTCAAATATTGTAGAGAAGATCTTGTAGTTCAAGAAGATTATTATTGCTGCTTGAACAACCTTTCGTTTACAGTTAATTATAATCTATCTCTAGAAAATGTTTTTTGCTCAATTGTGGACCGTGACTTATTTCAATACATTGAAATCATCCCACCTCATACCTCGCATTGGCAAAACAGAGTCATATAAAAAGCCGCTTATTTAGCAAATTGTGCATGCTGCCTTTGATTCCTTTGGGGTGAGGCAGCACCTTCCTTGCGATAGTAACTTCTAGTTTATAATAAAACTAATGCATATATTTTTAGTATTTGACTATTTTCGAAGACAACACAATTTTTAGCTCCCCGGATTTGTAGACATTAACATAGCGCGCGAAGCATCACGGTTGACTGTGATTCTTATAATTAAGTATGCAGGTTTCATATTTTTAGTAAATATCTTTGACACATTAAAATAATAAAGCATTATTTATTTTTGCTTCCGATACGTACTTTCCTGTGTACAATTTTGTTTACATTTTATAATTATTGATTTTGAAACTAAATTTGCCAGGGCATTCTTTAGAAAAATATTACTGTAATTACTAGTTTATCAGTACATACTGCGTCAGATTTACTAGTCAACTAACCAATCAGAACTCGCGAAATCTCAATTGTCATTTCAAATTTATAATAAAATATAGTAATAACAGTATTTGTGATGTTTGCTGGGAAAAAGGAAAGTGTGTAGTTCCGTAATGCCGATTCAACGAAAGTGTAATACTCCATATTATTATATGGAGATGGCATGCAAACGTCACTTCCAGTAAAACGGTGGACTGTGATTGACTGAGAAGCAATTTGAGCGGTCCTTTATTTTCCCGTAATGGACCGGCCGTCCATTACGGACAGTTGGTATGTTGTATGATTTACGATAAGGGACCTTCCTCAGTACTCTTACGATTATGTATTTTCTGTATTTCTTGGAGGATTGCCTCCCTGTCTTAAAAGTGATAGGGATATGGGGGTTATATAAACAGAAGGAAAGCCTCTTGTATAAAAGGCCCAAAA